GAGACAGAGAGAGAGAGAAAGAACGGGGTGTGGGGGTTGCTTTAGGGCTATTGATGACGCAATTTCCCTGGAGGGGTGGACCTCCCATCTGTGAGTGGAATAGATCTGGCCAAAAAAAAAGAAAAGATAAAGGGAGACTGAACAAGAAGAGCTATATGGGACAAGAGAGCGTATGGGAAGTTAAGTTTAAAGAAAAGGTTGCATACATTTCTTCAGTTTGTCTGAACTGCGTCTGATATGGAACAAATATACAGAATCATGGGTCTGTTTGTTATTCGTTCTTATGCAACTGCTCTTTTCAGTCTCTGTTTAACCAACACCAACCACCAATGAGTAGAAGAGAAGAAAAGAAGAAGAATTGACTTTGGCTCCGCTTCTCCTGCGAGGTGTGTCCACAATAAACCATGCTAATCAAACCTTCTGTGTAAACATGACCCCGGCGCACGCTGCTGCAGGACACTGTGCTAAAGCAATCCTGGCTCCTTGACGATGGAGTGGGTGTGGTCAGCCATGTGTTCAACAACCAATGACAGCGGACCGCCCCGGCCCCGCCCGGTGCAGAGCCCTGGATGCTCTGCTCTGTTTGTGCCTGTATCCTGGAGGAAGACGGGGGGGTCAGATGGTGAAGAAGGCCACCAGCTGCTCTCCTCGCCTTCTTCTCTGTCTGTCGAGGCTGCAGCAGGAAGAAGGCCACTCTTCACTCAGGGGACTGTCCAGTTTTCTACCCAATCTGTCCATCTCGGTCCCAACATAAACTCTTTTGTCTCTCTTTTTTTGGTTTGCTGTTACTGGCAGTGGAACGAAAGAGAAGCACTGGTAATGGCCAGTTGAGGTTCTCCTCCCCATCTCTCATCATTAGTCTTTCTGCCCATCTGTGCTCTTCTCTGTTGCTTTGGACGAGGGATGCATAGTTTATTTTTTTATGTGCGTGTATATATAAGTGGACATACCGTACGCACATTTATTTGTGTACAAGTGTGAAGTGTTTTTAAGCTGCAATATCCAGAAATAAGCTGTGAACCCAACTAAACCACATTATCACCTTTCAAGGGGAGACGTTAGCAGACAGTTGCCTATTTCCACATCAAGCAGACACAGAGCAACATGAGTGTTCATTTGCACCAGCTGGTAATACCTGTCTCTTGTAACCGCTAAAGGCTCTACTCTGTTCAGCAGCCAGTCGCTAACTGTGTCTGTGCCGCTTGGTGCCGGGCAGATGGCGTACAGTGGGTTCATTGGGGCTTTTATGCTGGAAATAGCTCGCTGCCAGTAAAACACTGCTATGAGTGGTGAGAGGAAACCAAAGCTTTAAAGTTACCGCCTGAGAAACCAAAAAAAAACCAGTTGAAAGAAGCTAAAGCTCTGTCAGGTGAACTGAAAAATGGGTGCTTCACTCCAAGCGACACCTTTCACATCACACATTTGTTCCATTGTTGTAAATCATTTTCATTAGTCGCTTTGAGGAGTTTATTGCGGCTGTTGAAACTCAGCGATAACAAATCGAAGCCTCCAGGTTTCAGTATGAGTTTGCAGCAGTTCTTCGCTGCTACTGAGTGCTGTGTCACGAAATCAAGTGTGGGTGATGGCCGGTCACCATGGCGACCTGGACAGAATGACAGTTGAGGCGGAAATTGAGAAACGAGCTCGTATTATGAATGCAAGTCTCTGTGCGTATTAGCTCATATAGCAGAGCGGGCCGCGGTGATGCAATCACTTGGCACAGTGCAGGCACTTTATCCTTCCAAGATAAGTCATTCTATCAGCTCTAATGCAACCTGCCACTGTGGGGGTACGCTTTCACACTCTCAGTCACCAGCAAACACGCTTATCACACACATTCATACAATCACATCCTGTTTTTAAACTAAAACAACTGCCAGAAGAGTGTTTGTGGGCATGATATGAGGGCTATATTAAACACTGTGTATAGTTTCAGCCTCTACATGGATATAGCTTGTGTGCTCCTTTTTTATTTATTTTTTTTAAATCTTTCTTTTGGTATTTGTCTTACATGGTTGATGGATTATTTCCTGCTGCTGATTCCAAAATGTGACCTTTCACAGTACAGGAGATCACAGTCATACACAGGTCATGAGGATGACAGGGAGAGAGTGAAGTGCACAGAGGAAAAGCTGTCTTCAGCCAACTTCCTTTTATCCGCGTAGACTCTCCCTGACCCAGTTTCTCTCCTTTCTTTTCCATTGTTTTCACCAACTTTCTTCTCATTTTATCCCTGAATGCACAGACATTTTGAATCCTCTCAATGCTGGGCCCATTCTCTCGGACATTCTGGAAATTCAGGTCTCTTTAGATGCTCATTATGTGTGTGTGTTTCCCTGTGCTCTGTGCTTTAAGGGTGTGTTTCGAAAACCAATAAACAAACAGTTTTAATGGGATTCCTGGAAAAGCAGGAAGCGTCCTGAAAACAGTGTACCGTCATCCACACACTGACATGCTGTTGCCTCCATCTACTGTACGGCGTGTGTGTAGTGGCTGTGGCAGTGTATCGTTCTGAAACCCTTTGAACTGATTGTGAAACATGTACCTATAAAGCGTTTAAATGGACCCAGAAAGGACATAAAAGACAGCATGCACAACTACAAGTGATGAGGCCGGATTGAAGCAGGGGCTCCAGTTTGAGGGTGCAGGCTCTTTTTGAACTCCCTATGTCACTTCCCCTCTCCCTTGGGGCACAGAGGAAGTAGGAGCAGATGTGTTAAACTAACGGACACTTTGACAACACTGCCGCTCTGTAAGTTCCTCTACCCCCTACTACCGCCATTCACACAAACCGCCTTTGATGTACACAGCAGCACATGTGTGTGTGTGTGTGTGTGTGTGTGTGCGCGCTCACACGAAGCCCCACCTCGACCCCCTCACACGCACAAACACTGTCCCCGTGTTCTGGCGGTGTCACAGAACTACACACTGACTGGAGAGCAGTATTTTTATTAGTCAGCATATTCCACTACATAAAGACAGTTTCTTGTGTGTTATTTCTCTGCCTTTGTTGTGCAGCGTGCAGCCACAGACCATGTTTATCTTGGGCTTCTTTGTTATGTAACTGACATGGTTTTGTTTCTGGGATGCAAGAAGGTGGACCTCTAGTGGCGCCTTTAAGTCATTACCGCAGTCCGCCTCGTGTATGTTTTGCTTCTGAGGACACACTCCCCTCACCGTTTTGCGTCTAGCACGTGCAGTACAATGCATCTTTGGTACAACGGATGCGATTGGCCAGCTCCTTCCAGCACACTCGTCTGTTTTCAGGCTTTGTGTCGCAGTTAGGAGGCATCTGAGACCATGACTGTTTGTAAATGTGAGTCATTCCTCAGACTGTGGGAGAAGACAAGCACATTACTCTCTTATCTGATGTTAAAGTAGACAGAATACGGTATTTTTAGCACTTGTAATGTACTTTCCTAGCATTTTACTGTTATTTTAAGACAGGCTTTTTTTCACTGTCTTCTACCGACAAGACAAACATACCACAAAGTTCCATCAAATTACAAGTGCGACTATTCTTTTATCAGTTAAGAGCCTGTTTCATCAGGGGGAAACTGATTTTCACCTAGAGCTGTACATTGAAAGTGAGTGGGAGTGTGAGTAGGTGAGGGAGGGAGCAGAGGAGAAGGAGAGAGAGAGTGTGTGTGTGTGTGTGTGTGTGAGCGTAGCTATAAAACAGACTTTGAAATCCAACCAGCTCAGTAGCAGACAGCTGTGCAGACTGAAGCACCTCTCGTGTGTGAGGCTCTGCAACAAACTGATAAACAGGACAGAGAGTTCTAAAAGCTTTTCCTGGAAACTACAGTGCGAATAAAAACAGCAGAGATGACGACCGTGTTCAGATATCCCGTCTTTCCTCATCTGCAGGGTGAGTTAAGCCCACGTTGAATCTTTTTTTGCGTTTAATTCTTTTAACAGCAGATGAACGTGAGGTTATTGGCTGTTGTACTCTTACATGTGTTAAATACGTTTTGGTCTTTTTAGTCAAATATTCTCAGTTTGTTAGAGGGCAAATTGTTTCTGTTGATTATGTTTGTTTACACATTCCTGATTTAAAATGGATCATGTGAGCCATCAGTCGGATGCAAGTGGGAAAATTCTCATTGTGCATAGTGGACTCAGGAGCTGTCGCACTTAGCGGCCATGAAAGTTATTTGCTGCAGTGTTATTCTCAATATCTACCCTGTGATTACCATAAGGCATTGGTCAAACTTTCTGTACCCCAGTTACAGTTTTCAGCTTCATGCCGGCCTGATTGTGAACCTTTAGGTCAGAAGATAGTACATTTCCATACATTGACTGTTTGGATTCTCTAAAATGAAAAAATACTGTGTGTACAATGTTTGTGAAATACAGAACTAATGAAGTCAAATGGCCATGCAGTGTGCCCACATGTAGGGCTGATGAAAAACGATGGATTGAATCTTTGTGTTACAGATTTATTAGCAACGTGTGAAATATTTATGAGCCTGAAAGATATTAAAAGCACTGTCCTGATTCCTCTCTTGATTATTTTCCATCTGGTTTCTGATAGGGGGGATGAAATGTTCTCTTCACTCGGTGTGGAACAATTATGTAATTCCAGCACCGAGTCCCTCCATCACTATGGAGACCATTCAAAAACTCTGCGCTCATCCCAGAGGAGCGGGCAGATGTTCAGATCAGGGTTTAAAAGGAGTGTCATTTTAGAGAAATAATAGCTCACTGAAAAATGTTTCCTTTGCAAAACCGATATGAAGGCTCATATCTGCTGCATCTGAACCTGAGTCATGGTGGTGATTACATTAAAGTCCTCTTTCATCTGTTTCTGATTCAGATCCGTGTGACCCTGGTCTGTCGCTGTCACCGGGGAGGAGTGTCATGGCGGAGCCCGACTATCTGGACGGAGACTGTGATGAGCTCATCAAACCCAAGAAGCTGATCAACCCAGTCAAGACCTCCCGCAACCACCAGGACCTGCACCGAGAGCTGCTTATGAACCAGAAGAGGTCAGGAGGCAGAAAAACACACTCAGTATCCGTCTTTCTCCCCTTGTCTCTCCTTTATGTTTTTCTTGTGGGTTTCCAGGTAAACACACGCGGTAATTCCCCAGAGATTCTTATTTTACAACTAGCAAAGTTTTATCATGGTTTATAGCACATAAATAAAACAATCAGTGTTCAGCAAAGGCGGCTAAACTCCAGGTATATGACAGGGACAATAACATAGCAGGTAGTGATGTTTCTTCAGATAATGGTTTATTCCTTTATTGGGTGCTAATGCTGTTGCTGAACAGTTTCCAGATCTTCGTCGTCTTCTTGTTTTGTTTATGGCAACAACATCAAGTTTGCCACTATCCAGAACAGGTTAGACAGAGAAAACAGTACAACGTCCAGATCCAGGCGGATTTAGTTTAACGTCTTCTAATGGAGGATGAGTTAATACAGAAGCTACTTTCTTGTAATTGGTCCGATAATATCTATGCAGGCTGTATGAGTCTTCCGCAGCGTGTCTAAGTCCCTAAGTTGACTTCACTGTTCCCTCCAGCAGCAGTATTATGTAAAGCTCAGAATATAAAACTTTCATATGAGCTATTATATAAAACCTCCAGTGCATTAGAGTGTGAAAAGTTGCTTATGTAAAGGCCACACAGATATACTGTATGTACAGGATAAACCTGGTGTGGCTGCTGACAGTAATACCAGATTACGCAGTCAGTTTCCATCTCGGTAAGTGTATGTGTGAATACTCGTGCGAACTGGGGCGTATCAGTGCTAAATGTTTGTATTTTCTCTCACCAAACAGCGCCGGCAGCTTTGTGCCTGAGCTATAAATAGCTACATAAACACACATGCCGTTGACAGCTGTTACATCACAGCAGCGATGCTCTGTCTTAAACAGGTCAAAGAGTGAGGTGCTGTTGTAGTGATGGAGGCAGGGTGTTCATGAATGATGGGGAAAAGGGCCAGGGTGGGCAGGATAAGCTGGAAAATGGGGGAAAAAAAATGAAATGCTGCGGAAGGACTGTTTCTAGTCGTCTAGACCGAGAATGTCCCGGAGCATCAGTAAAAGTCTCTGAGACAAATCTAGAGGGTTTTGGGAGGGGATGAACTTGTTTTGATTGGGCTCTCTTATCGTGTACTGAAAGTATAGAAAGCTTGGCTGCATAGTGGATTAGTCACACTGATGCACGGGGCGGGGTGGA